TATTATTATTATTATTATTATTATTATTATTATTATTATTATTATTATTATTATTATTATTAAAGGGAGTGTTGACCTCAGCACAGTGCGTGCGCTAGGCGCACAATGTTCTCGCCTGTCATGGATGCAGGGGACTTTCGCGTTTGTCCAATAGTAATAACTAAAGGGGGGATTTTAATGAAATTTAATTTTTTTCTTTTCCCTTTAGAACAAAGCCGTTTAGTATAGAAATTAATTTTGTTACGACAAAATGAAATGACCCATTTTTATACGTCATTTTCTTTTTTCATCGATTGCGACTAATAATTCATTTTTTTACCTTTCTACGTCATTTTTAATGCATTTTTCGCTGATTTCATCGATTTTAATGTAATTTTAATAGTACTTGCATCAAACAATATTTACCAGGTGCACCAAATGTTCACCCCTTAATTTCTTAGTAGTCAATTCGATTTCTTCGCTCATATATTGTATTGTCAGCCGGTGTGAGTACTATGTAATCTAAGGTGCCTATGAAGCCTATCGGGGCCATTGTCAGTTCGGCTGATTTCGCGATAAATGCAGAGATTTTCTTTTAAAGAACAGTTGAAACCGAACTTTTGCAAGCTGAGTTCACTTGAACAAAAGGAAGAAGCCTCGATTACATCAGTAACATACCTAACAGCTTGAGTTGTACATCTGATGTGGTTTTGATCAAATATTTTACATCATTTTTCTCTGTTTTTAGGAAATTATTATAGCGTTTTATTGATCATTTTTGGCTATGTTTTAGGTCATCAAAATCCGACCCCTAGTAATTAACCTTTCGCGGGCCACAATGAACGACACCGCGGTCCGCCATTTGGACAGCTCTGATCTAGTTGTTGAGGGACAAATTGTACTCATTAAAAAAATAAATAAATGAAATAAAATTAAAATATGGCAGACTATTTATCAATCAATTAAACTCCGCAAATTTATTTAAATCTATTATTTTTTATAACATATATTTGTTTATTCATTAAAGATTCGTTTCAGATTTCGAATTCGCCCTCCACTGTATTATTGAGTTAGTTATTGTGAAACGAATTGTTCAATATTTTTGAATTGATAATGATCTCTTTGCGTTAACTGAAGTGAAAGAAACGCAAATTAATTTAGGGAAATTCATGCGAAAGTTGGGAGTGTTTTTTTTTTTTAGAGTTTTCAATATGACATTAAGGTAATTAAGGTAACAAGCATAGATTAGACAGGTTTTATTTTGCGTATCGGTTATGCTGTGCGATATTTTTATAATTCGAGCTAACATCCATGTGACTTTTTATCATTTGAACTTTTTCCACCGAAGCCAGTATCACAAGTTCTACGATGAGAATGCTCAATAAGCTAGAGAAATCGATATTTTTGGTTAAAAGGTAGGAATTCTGAAACGAGCATATACTTGAGAAGTAAAACAAAAAATGTAAAGTTTACAAAAGATACGAAACAACCTTTCTTTTCGACATCTAAGTACGTAGAGACAGGTTGGAAAATTGGCATAAAATGCTCTGGAACAGGAGGTTTTAAAATCAGACCACCCATTGCATTACTTCTTTCGGCAGATAACTCAGAAGATAATGGCATGGAATATGCTACATGCTTCGAAAAAAGAATGAAATGTAAGAATGAAAAATTAATTTTAATAAACAAAATACTTTTGCGTTGCAGGAAGAAATTCATATATTCACGTGGAACACGATATTGAACTGTGTTTGAGTTTCAATCATATAAGAACCATCAATTCCATGTTTCTGAAGGTAGATGGGGATGTTGATGCTAGATGTGGAGCAAGACAGGAACTCAGGGACTGAGCAGTTTAACAGTCTGAGTCAAGAAACAAAGGAGAGATTTCCAAATAGCTTAGTATACAATGAAGCGATATGTGAGGCAAAATGTTGCCTCCGAATAAATAATAATTTATATCATAATAATAAATAAAGGATATGATGAAATGCCTTCAATTAACTAAATTAAATTAGATATGAGATTAAATGGACCAGAGTAAGTTTCAATTTTCATAATTAAATTTCTAGAAAACAGATTAAATTGTAACAATGTGTACAATAGGTACAATTTTTTGTCACTGTTGTCTCAAAGTATTCTCAAAGAAGATTCATTTATTTACTTAAACTACGACGAATAAGCGGTGGGCAAGTTTTGAAATTTGGTAACCTTTGCACATGGGGATTTGGAAAAAAGAGATGAGTGACCGATTGTTTGGGTAAAAATGAACATTTATCTTAAAGGTTCAGTTTTAGTTCATAACAGAGTTCCTCGTCAGATCCTGAGAATGAGTAGTTGTAATTCGCTTTTAGTACTACGAATAATATCTGATGGGGTATCCGCCATACGTGTGACTGAACAGTGCCCCTTGTTCCTAAAACTAAATAACTTATTATTTTTAATATTTTTATTTTTAACTTAGTATCATTAATGAACGATAAATAACAATGAAAAATTTGTAATACGATTTATTGTTACCTATTCTGGACGAATGATTTTTCTTTCTAAAATAGTGGGTGCTCCAATGTTCTGGTAGGGCCTAACTTCTATTGCTTAGTTATGTCTAATGCGTAAGTGCTTGAAAAGTGTTTTCTCTGCTCTTTGTGCCACGCAAGTTTCTTGCCAAAAGTGACAAAATATTGAAGTTGGTTTACTTACTTTTCAATAGTACAAAAATGAGCCTTTTTAGAGCTTGATAAGACAGTAATACACGACTCATTCAAAATGTTTATGAGAGACATAATGTTCTCTATTTTAGTTGGTGAATGTTTCACATGTGTTCACTTTTCCTCTGGCGGACTTGACGAACAGCAGTACTTTCATCCTCCATGAATGGAACTGGCGCAAACAACGATTACGCACGGGGTCGTTACCATTGATTTTACCGCTGCACGTGTGCGCATGGCTTGTAGGTGACGTCATCGTGATTCCCACGTGTCATGCATGGTATCTGGACATTTCATACTTCACATGAAATCGAAATATATATATACTCACAAAATCACTCACACACACACACACACACACACACACACACACACACACACACACACACACACACTTGTTCGACTTGTCTATTGCTTCCTTTTTTCTATTTGTCTCATAAAAGGTTTTCATCTCATGAATAAGTGTGTTTCATCTGGAAGAGAATAGAACAATATAATAAAAGGAATCTATTTTAAACATCTCTCTGTGAATTGCTCTCATTTCTTTTTAAAAAAAAAGAAGTGACATACTGCATATTATACTGCACATAAAATTATAAATACTAAAAAAAATCATCGTACTACTTATCGAGTTGAAATAATAATGCTTAAAATTGAAATGTGTAAGTATTGCTGTGATAAGTATTTCAAAGATATAATTATTATTAATATGAATTTCATCGACAACATTCATTTTGCTATTTTGGATTTTCTTTACAAACTGTTTACATAAGAGTTTGTAATTTTATCATGAATATTGTTAATGGGACTTTTTTGAAGTCGTGCAATCTATTTTGTACAAGTTTCTTTTCAAATATAAATTATGGGGTACATAGGGGGAAACTACCTTCTGCGGGTAGTCAATACAGTATTTCACTTCATGTTGAACATCTCATTTCCAGAGTGAAAATAAATGCATGGTAATATAAAGAGAATTCATCCCACAATTTAAAATTATCGGCTTTGTAAACTTTCTAGCGATTTACGCAATATTTGTTTCTAGGGGTTATCATTTAAGTACTTCCGTTGGAACTGCGCCGAACAGCTGCGCTCTGGACTCGTATTTTGTCTCCGTTAATTTCGTGAAAGAGATTCTGCTAGAAAGTATAACGTAAGTAAACATTGGTTGCCCTGAGGGCTCCTGCGTATTCATAGTTCAGGAAAAGCCTGAACTAAACCATGAAGGATTGTAAATCTGAAAAGATGAAGTATTAATGGGGAAATTTGATAATTTAGGCCCTAAAAGGGAAATATGACGAGTGATAGGAGAATGCTTATTTGGAGTCGTGATGTGAAATTGTGTCCGCCCTGAACGAGCTGGTTGTTACGCATCTCGAAATATTGACGTTATATTTCCATTGACGTGTGTTGATTTTGTGTGAATAAGGTTTTTTGGGCGTAGGTCCAAAGCGGAAGTGTTCGAAAGTCTCCCACTAACCAACATGGCAGTTTGACAGCCTAGAGAAAGGGGACTTCAAATCACTGTAACATTTTAAGGTTTGTGTTTCTGTGATTTGTGATGATGTGCTGCAATTTGTATGTCAGTCGTATCCAGAAAATACGCCTTGCGTTATTGGTACGAAACCGTGAAGATAAACGGATTGTTGCAGAGAACCTATTGGGACTTCTTTTTCCAGTTTAGTCTTTTATTAAGTGCGCTTAATTCACTGTGTTTAGATTTGGAATGTTTACAATAGCTCTTAAAACACGTCACAGTCTGTATAATGAGTGAACTAATGTAACCATATGACATTTGAATTTTTGGGTTAGGAGAGGTTAAAATGTCACTGTAGCCTAGATTTAATGTGGTTACTAGTGTTTGCTTTTATATTAAAGTATTTTGGAATAAATCGCATCCAAATTCAACAAAAATTAAAAAATGAATAATATGGAAAGAAATTAAAAAGTTCACAAAATTTTCCATTTTGCCATTTAAATGTAATTTCCCAAAAAGTGATGTGGCAGTCTTTTACATGCATTTGCTCTCTTGAAGACCTTATTCAAAATTTAATCTTTAAAATAATGTTTCTCATTTTTAAATCTCTTCCTATTTCAATACTGGAGAATATTGGCCACAGAAAGTGTATTGCAGGAGAATTAAAGGGATTGCCTCTCTGGGAAGAAATATTTCACTCAAAATGTTAAAATACGATTATATTAAGACTTTTATTTGCTGTTTAAAATTCATGGACTTTTCAGTTCATTTGATAATAATTTTTTTGGTTAATGTTCTTTGTGAGAAGGGCAGGAAAATGGTAAACATAGATCACAATTTGTATTCTTTGTGGTACAATCCATTTTCTCAAAAATAATGAACCCCTGTATGTATATATATCCATCACAACGTAACTTAAGCTCAAGACAAAGTTGATAAACCTTTATAGAGTTAACAAAGAGATAATAATTATTACATACCATGTATATTTGGCAAATGTAATATAAAATATTCATTGTACTGTGAATCTCATTAATGAATGGTTACAGTATGTTGTCAGTTTCAATGCTATCACATCTATTTTTACCTTTATTAACCACTTCTAGTATCTTTGACAATTGTTATTACCATGTTGTTGTTCTTTTTTAATCTGTCATTGATGCCTGATGACTGGTAATTAATATAGAGCTCTGGGATTGATGAGTGGTGGAAACTGTTCTCAAATATTGAGGAAATGGCTATTACAACGGTAATTACCTGTTTTATGTAGCAATTGTGTTCTTTCTCCCCCCCCTACACAATTTGTGGCGGTTATCAATGTGGCAGTGGAACCAAAATGAGGGAAACCAGAATGAAAGAAATACACAGTACAAGATCCAAGAGAACATTGATACAATTAAAATGTGTACCTTACGCTGGGATAATGTTGATACTTGGAACAAATTGGTGATTTGTGTATATTTCATTTTATGTTTGGTTGTATTGTGTAAATACACGGGTAAAGTGATATGACTGAAAACAGCTGTTAGTTCCTTACATAGACTGAGACTATTAAAAGATAATACTGTATGTTTGCTAGATAATTAGAAACTTGGGAGAATTTTGTAGAATAAGTTGCTTTGTTTTGGAGCTTTGAGTGAAAAGAATGTCACAACATATGTTCATAAATTAATAGTCAATCTCCAGTGAGGAATACTTATCCTTGAAATATTAGACAAATATGGAAATCAAGTTTTTACTGAAATGTGTCATTTTAAATGAATGTGGATATGAACTATATTGAGATTTAAGTGTTTGAAGAGGTGTAATGTACTGAATATTTCTATATTGTTGTTGTCCCCCAGGAATTGTAGTGTAGTCTTTCAGACTAGCTTTAACTTGTACAGATGTAATACTGGATAGCTTTTATTTGTAGAATTCAAAATTCCAGAATTATATGGAATGGGTAAATTTTTATTATATGAATGTTACCTCTCACTTCACACTTGATATTGATATTTCAATTTTGTTACAATAATTCGCTCTTATTTTCAGAATTGTGACGTGTAGAATTTAAACAGTGTGACTTTGTTTTAACAGGTGAGCTAGACAATGATGTCTGTTTTGAACCAGAGCGGTGAAGAACAAGTTGAATGCCCCTTGTGTATGGAACCACTGGAAGTGGATGATCTCAACTTCTTTCCGTGCACTTGTGGATACCAGGTTTGATTGCTTTCTTGAGTTTTTGCAAATTGTTCTCTTTAATTGACATGGGATTTTATGGCATTTAGTTGTTCTGGGGCATTAGTGAGGTTAGATTTGCATTGAACTTTTACTGCAGTTTTTGATGTGAAAACGCGAAAACTCCGAACGATAGTTGTGGAATATATTAGAAAAGAATCAAAATGGCAACATCGCAATCGGAATAAGAAGCTGTTGAAAGAGCTTTCAAAATTTTGTTTATTACCACAAAGAAATTCAATTACGTTTGATGGGATTGTCAATGAGCTTGAAACTTGCTCCGAAGCAGAACTACGAGAAACGACATTCTCGTAGTTGCAAACATTTTGGTAGGCTGTATTTCTTAAGCCACATGTCGAAAAATGCAATCGTATTCCTAATTGTTTTCGGCATCAAAATCGTAACTGGATTTATAGGGGAGGGGAGAGGCTGTTGCCATGGAAACGAATACGGGCGTCCCAGGCCCGCGATTTTTCCCGTGTTTCTTGCATGTGGTTCACAAATAATGCACAATGTGCTGGTTCTGCTCGCGATCTTACCAAAAACTGGAATAAAGCTGGGGTATTATTCCTGACGATTCGCTTCGAATTTTTGTACATCAAGAATTTGTGTGTTTGGGACGTTTGTGAAACCCAATCAGACGTCAGTTTGCGAGAGAACTTAAACAAGCTGTTAAAAGCGTAAAGCAATTTTATCGTTAAAGATTCCATCCATTACGTAGTTCGATTTAATAGAAAGTGATTTCTTAAAAAATAAGTTCTGACGCTAATGTATGATATGTCTTTTAAGAGGTTAATTATGGTCGGTATACCAACAGAATTTCGGCCAAGTTACAAACATTTTGTTACGACGCTAATGTTGCACAATACAGCAATAATCGCAATAAATTAATATACTATAATATTTAATAATATAATATATAATATTTGAATAAATGGCATTTTCTGAAACAATACAAAAATAATTGTATTTTGTATACTTGTAGTTCCAACATTCTTAATTACTCCAGCTCCATCAGTTAACATGCGGAAATGGTGTATCTAAGTGTGCTATACTGTAATCAAATACTTTCTTAGAAAGTGTGCTATACTGTAATCAAATACTTTCTTAGAAATTATTATAGGGAGAAAATATTGAAAAGATTGTTATAAAATATAAATAATTTGTATACATTGCGAAAAAATGTTTCAGATCTGTCGGTTCTGTTGGCATCGAATTAGGACAGATGAAAACGGTCTTTGTCCAGCGTGTCGCAAAGCTTATCCTGAGAATCCTGCAGATTTCAAGCCTCTTACACAAGAAGAAGTGGCTAAATTAAAGGCTGAGAAGAGACATAAAGACCAGCAGCGAAAGCAAAAAATCACTGAAAATCGTAAACATCTGTCTAACGTTCGTGTAGTTCAAAGAAACCTGGTGTTTGTTGTTGGATTACCAATGAGACTAGCTGATTCAGAGGTATAAAGAGCAACCTTAATTTCTTTTTTTCTAATAATAGTGTGCAAGTAATATCCATGTCCAATGGAATTTTTTAATGCAAACCCCTTTGCTTGTTGCATATCAAATATATACATGTTAAATCAAATAATGGATATGAATCAATTTTCCAATAACTTGGAGGATATTTTGTTTGAAGGTAATTTGGAGAAATTAAAGTAGTAGTGGAATATTCTTTAAAACATGTGCATTTCAATTGGGGTTCTTATTTTGTTGATAAAAGATGCACGATATTAGTATAATGGTTGTCAAAATGCCATCATAAATTATTACAATGTCTTTATTTACATAAATTTCCAGACCAAGAATCCTGTTATTATTTATCCTTCTTTTTATTTCCATTAGTATGTGATATATTGCTGTTGTACCTGTGAAAACAGCTATGAGAAGGGAAGACAATTTCACAGGAGAGACCTAAAAACTCTCTTAAATGAATATTTTTCTTTGTATTGCACTTCATAATGCATGTTTTGTTTTGGACAGTTAAGGTATAAATTCTTTGTGCAATTGTAAATAGTTTCTTGTTTCTGAATGTGTATGTAACTCCTTTTCATAAATAGTGTGCAAAGCAAATTTTGCAGGCGAAACGACAATATATTGTTTCATTCTGCCATGTACCTGTGTTGCACAGGCATGCATGTGTGCTTACACACACTGACTTGCTTGCTCACACTCGTGTGTGTGTGCGTGCGTGCGCGCGCGCGCACAGACATTTGGTCATGCACACTTGCACAAACTCAATCTCACTCACACTCTCTCTCACACACACACTCTCTCTCACACACACACTCTCTCTCACACACACACTCTCTCTCTCACACACTCTCTCTCTCTCACACACTCTCTCTCTCACACACTCTCTCTCTCACACACACTCTCTCACACACAGAGAGAGAGAGAGAGGGAAAATACATGTTTGGAACCCGTAACAAACTGATGAGCAAGCTTGCTTGCGAAATGAAGTGTTAAAGATGTAAAAGAAAATGGTTATTGCTGTCATATGAATTTTAATTTTTTTAAATTGTGCAAAAATGTTAGTTAAATTCATATTTAATATTTAGAAATACTTAAATAAAAAAAATTTAATGTGGTGCTGTAAAATGCATGTATTTTAGTAGGAAAATTGGGTTTATAAATTGTTAAATCAGAAGTTTATTTTGACAAGACATTAGATATTTTTAATATTGTTTATTCTTGGGAGTATTTAATGTTGTTAGAAAAAGAAAATTCATGTCTTTTCTTTTTTATATATTAGGTTTTGAAGAAACATGAGTATTTTGGGAAGTTTGGCAAAATCCATAAAGTGGTGATAAATCAAAGTACTTCATATGCTGGATCACAGGTAAGTGATTTTCTTTAAAGTAATTTTTGCAATTTGCATGTTTAGTGAAGCAATAAATCAAGTACTCTTTAATTATAGCTCTCTTTTGAGTGCTCCAAATCATTTGTGTGGATCAGGTGCCTGGTATTTATAATGTTTTAGGGTGATTAATGTCTTATTTGCTACTACATTTAGGTGATTCTGAATCACTGAAGCCTATCAGCAGCCAATGATTGCATTGTGATATGTATTGCTGTAAATCTATTAACCCATTGGCATTTGCAGTGGAAATCATTGAGATCAGTATAATAGGGCCCAAGAAATCAATTTATAATTTGTCTTGCTTGATGCATGAAGTAAAAATTAATAGCTTGGTGATAGCATTAGCAATAACTTCTCAAATTCTTATGTAAAATCTGTTAATCATCAGCTAGAAGTGTTTGCTTTTAATGTTGCTGCAGATAAGAGCTTTTTCATTGTAGTCACATGGTAGCTACTATCAGCAGTCGAGAGTATTTTGGTACATTTTGTTGAGCATGCACATTTCAATAAATATGCCACTGGGTTGATAAAACTATATATGCATATAATCACTAATTAATCACTGCATTTTCACAGCATTTTGTTTGCTCCTTTTGTCAATTCATTTCATCCAATTCCTTATTGCCTTTATTTTATTACACTTGTAGTTTTTATGTCCATGAAATATCACCTCGCTTGGAAAAACAGATTCTCTTCCACAACTCATGATGAAGTTCAAGACAGATATAAGATCACATTTTGCATTGTCTGCAGGATTATTTTGTCACAGCTGTACATTGAGCCATATGAAAAAATGTGGGCTCTGATGAAGGCTTTTTTTTTATGGGAAAGCTCATGTGCCATTTTTTTTAGACTTCCCTTGTTCCTTTCTGAGAAGTGTAGGTGCGCAGCCATTACACAGGTTATTTGAAATCCAAAATTTGGGTCTATTATAAAACATTGGCTAGTCACATTTTGTTCTATATCTTTATCTGTTACAATTGGTGATTTATTACAAATGGTGTTACAAAATTTGTGTGTGGCAGTACCAAGATATCTTTGTAAATGGCTTTTTCCGTCAGTTATTTTCTTCTTTGGCCCGCATCTAGCTCTGATAATGTTGTTCTTGTTCCTATATTTTTTTAAATTTCATATGAACTTCAATAAATAGCATTTCTAATGAGATGCAAACAAGTGTTCTTCTGTAGAATTTTCAAAATCTTCATTAAACCTAGTGTTGTCTTCAGGATAATATCTGAAGTTCGTTCTGTGTGTAATTTGGTTTGGTTTAGTGCACTCTTGCAGGTTGAAATAAAGTGATGACTGCTGTTAGTAACATCTGTACCTTCTGTGACAGACTGACATGACCTATGACAGTACGTTAAGAAAGTTATAGGAAACTATGTATCTATATTGAGACTTCGAATTTCACTTTCTCATTTTGATTTGTATATGCATCTTTTAATAAACGTTCATAATGAGGATTTAATGCATAATTTTTAATTAAAACATCATAACAAATAAAACATTTTGTTTGTTCTGTTAAGTTAAAAAGTTTCGAGCTTTGAAAGCATGCTGTGGAATATGTGTGTGTAAATACACTTTTGTGTTTGTTACTATTTGAATGATTAGTTTTATGTCTATTCAGTGCAATGCTATTTTACAGTGCATCAAAGTGACAATAGTCATCTTCTACAGAAGGCAAAATTAAGTCAAAGAAGCATCCTTTCCATCCTTGCAGAATCCAGTTGACCTATTTTCATTTCTTGCAGTGATCTATTTTAAATCTGTTTAGTGCAGTTAATAAATTGCTTAGTGGATAGCTGCTTGTTACAAAAAAGTGTTGTTTATGTTTCCATGATGATCTCTGCTTATGTGTGAGTGGGCAGACGTGTGCTCATCTTACATTTCATAAATGCATGTTTTGAGGAGTTTGTATTGCAATTCTTTAACATACAGCATGCAATGCTTTGGTATTAACTAATAATTTTGTAAAATTTGATTGATATTGAAGGTGATACTGTCAATGACAGTTGAAAACCGGTTCCCTCGTGTGAATAATAAGAATGTAATGAAACGTCAGAAATAATGAATTGTTTTGTTAATGTCTGTCTCGCCACTAAAGTAGTCTTGGATGTAGATGTGAATGGAATTTGAAGGATTTCTGCATGATTTGTTTCTCATTTTATTTTTGGTAATTCATTAACTGAATATATTCTACATGAATATTAGTGTGCTTCAAAAAAGAAATAGATGCCTAAAATATAAATGCTGTTAATTTAATGATTTGGAAATAATGGAAGTAATAGTAATTTTTTTCTTGTAGGGTTTCTAAATATCATTTTTTAGAGTACTTTTCATAAGTATTGTGGATATACTAGCAGACGAAAAATAGATTGACTGTGCATTCTACCGCATGGCCATTGTCTCTTTTTTATTTTCTTGTATTCTAACATAGAGATAGTTATGTAATGTTTTTGGAAAGTGCTGATATTTTGACAGAAAATCACATTTTTTTGGGTCCTTGAAAAAGTGTTCTTTTCTTGTGTAAATTTTTAATACTTTCTCAAATATTGTAGTTAAAATACATATTTGGGGGCTCTTGATAATGAAAAGTTGATTTCTCTGAAATCATTTGTCGAAGATCTGTAAACATGAACTGCATACAGGATTTTCACCAAAAGGGATGTCCCATGAACAATCTGTATGACGTCATTGCGCCCCTTGAATTTGAAAGGATCTTTTAATATATGGAGGTTTTTTGCAAGTAGTCTAGAAGATATTTTGGAAATGTTCTGGAAATGGCTCCAAAATGTTTTGCCCAATAGAGCTTAGTGTGCTTATAGAAATGGCCCAACTCTGATTTTCTGTAAAACCTCAGATATTTAAAGAATTGTCAAAATTCAATTTTATTTTTGGTATCTCTGGAATGTTGCTTACCAAATAATGCTTGTAGTGAACGGAAGCAATTTTTGGAGAGCCTGTTGATCAAGGCAAACATAGTGGGTTAGAAGCACTTTCGTGGATTCAATTAATAGTCTAATATTGTGTAACCATTTCAGGAAATACAAGAAAGAATGTGCTGTTGTAGCACATCTAGTTATAAAGAGAACTTGAATTTGAGTATTCATAGGTTTTCATGATGGTCCTTAAATGTGGTCGTTAAATTTTATGAAGATTTCCCTGAAGATATTCTTTTATGTCATAACTTTATTTTTGTCTCTGCATGTCATATTCATTTGACAATTCAACATTGCATGTTATATTCCCTCATTGTTTTACATATTGTTCCTATTATGTCTCTTTGCATGTGTGTACAACTACTATTAATCTATTTGTTGTACATTTTTGTAGTTATTGAAGGATAATTATGTTAATTTCTGATTGTGTGCAGTTGATGTTGAATTTAGCACACGCCATGCATGATTTTATGTATTTATATTTTGACATGTTCAGTTGCAATGTATATTTTGCTTTTATCGTTTTATTACTGTTAAAAGGGAGAGAATTAGTTTCTTGCTTTATAAGATTGTTTATTATATTCGACTTTATAACAAAAATGTTGCCTAATTTTCTTCAAATTTTTATTGGATTTTTTGCATAAAAATATAAAGACCAGTAGTAG